AATTACCAACTGTTACTATGGTGTATATTAGAGACAGTATGATAAGAAATAATGACATTATCCAACTGTTACTATGGTATATAGTAGAGACCGTGTGATAAGAAATAATGACATTATCCAACTGTTACTATGGTGTATATTAGAAACATTATGATAAGAATTAATGACATTATCCAACTGTTACTATGGTGTATATTAGAAACATTATGATAAGAACTAATGACATTATCCAACTGTTACTATGGTGTATATTAGAGACAGTATGATAAGAAATAATTTCGGGTCAATTTTATGAAAATTTCTAGTACGAAACTTCTTACTTCACTTTTTTGAAAAATGAAATGGTCTTTCCTTTTACTCCCGATCAACAATCAAATATCTTTTCTTGAATTATGAATAACACGAATGGATTGAAATATTTAATTAGATTATCTCAAAATAAACCTTCATTTCGGTGCAATATTGAAATTAGCTTGAATTCTTCATAACCTCTGAATAGTGGGTGACCCAATGGGTCACGATGGTCTAGTAATTGATAAATATTGTTGTGTTAAGGTATCTTACTCTAGTTCGCGGGTATTATGACAAATAAAATTGACGACAAATTACACTTCACATCAATATTTTACTTTAGAAACAACTTCAGAATTACTTAATTCAGTTCACACCATAACAGTTCTTGTCAAGCAGTTTGCTAATATAAATAGCGTCTCAACTACGTCAACGAACTTGTACTTAAACAACTACAAACACTAATATGTCAATGGTATTCCTGAAAATCCCGATATATCATAGCCTTTTGTTTGTTTGAAATTATGCACAAAGCTACACAATGGGCTATCTAGCGGTTTCTAGCGTTGTAAGTCCACAGACATACAGCTGTGCCATTGGGGGGCTCGATATAACTATAGCAGATATATTGTTGTTGAAATATGATTGTACATTATTCTTTACTTGTCACCCAGTAGGTCAGTAGAGCGTAAATAACTTGTTGTGTAGCCATGTGCTAAAACAAATGATCTACTTAAATTTCACTTAGAAGTTCTTATTGTTAACTTAGGTAGAATATTTCAGTTTCAAGTACCTTTTGTTATTATAATAACACAAATATTTTTATTAGAAGAGTTATTCATAGGGTGTTTTTAACAGCGCTATAATCCGTCAAACTTTACTTAATCAAAAACACTATTCTTAACCATAGAAATATCTATAGTTCAAAATGGGTCCCATAGGTTTTTTTTTTATATTTATGCACCAAATTACTTTTAGGTTCATGACTTCGTTGGTTAAGGGTTCCTGTGTACGAGTCACCCAAAACATTTAAACAAAAATACCATAATGTGCAGTTCTTTATCCTGAATGCTATAACAGGCACAACATAAAATTAAACAATATGAGGCAATATGTTGACCACACCAGCACGAAAATAGATAGCTAATTTGAGGGTTCAAGGTCGCTTACTGCTATGTATATGGTTCGATACTTGCAGCGGACACAGCAACTTATTATGCAGCTTTACGCTTAAAACAACACAAGTATTCATTTTGAAAGGAGTTTAGATTTATTGATCATGCATTAAAATGGCATAAAGAAAAATGTATTCAATATGTAGTGTATAAGTAATGTCAGTCAATTAAGACAGCGATAAAACTCCGTGAGGCCCCCAGTGGCACAGCGGTATGTCTGTGGACTTACAACGCTAGAATCCGGGTTTCGATACCCGTGGTGGGCAGAGCACAGATAGCCCATTGTGTAGCTTTTGGCTTAATTACAAACAAACAAACAAATTCCGTGAGCATTCGTGAAATAACCAAATAATAAAACAACATAGATTAACTTTAACAAATAATGAATCAGTTTTCAGCTCTAGAAAATTTGTGTAAAATAACAAAATCAAAAGTAAAAATCAGCTCAGTCTTCGAGAGTGATTTATTGAGCATATAGAGGGACACTCAGTAGAGAGCATACCTCCGCCACGCAGCGTTGATCATGTTCGGCTCTCAAAAAATACGAGAATGTGTCCGTATGTCCTTCGTTATCAACGGATACGGACCATTTTTAGCAGGACAGTGATGAATAATTTTGTACATATGTCCACAAAGTTTAATCAAAATCCGATCATTTTTGTCTGAGTTGTAGAACAAAAATAGTGTGAAACATCGGTCCCCATGTTAACAGATAGGGATTTTGTTTCGTGACCTTGATCTTTGCCCTTGAAAGAATGAATTTACTTATAGATTAAGCCTGGTGTTTCAAAAAATAAACAGTAGAATGTGTTTAATTACAGATCTAAATCTGGTGGTGTTCATGCAGTCTGTAAAATGTGATTGTTTCTTAATAAACACTACTGGTCTAAGTCTGGAATTGTTCATAACGTCTGTAAAACGTGATTCTTTATCTGAAGCAACAAGATGCTTTGTGTGTTTGTTATAAAGCGTAAAGCTACACAGTGGGCTGTCTGTATTGTGCCCACTCCAGGTATCGAAACTCTGTTTTTAGCGTTATAAGCCTTCAGACTTACCGCTGAACCACTGGAACAACACTAGGGTATGTTTAGTTAGAACTTATAACTCACTGACTCTCCACCATTTACCAGTTCAGGACGATTTTGTCCTACAACACAAATTCTAAGTCACTGACCATTCATCGTGCACCAGGTCAAGTCTGCATTCTTCTAGAAATGCTTGCTAAGTTACTGACTCCTCACCATGCCACAGTTAAGGTCTGGATTGTCCCAGAAGAATTGATAAGTCACTGACCCTTACCCTGCACTAGGTCTTGTCCTAGAAACAAGTGCAAAGTACTGACTTTCCACTATGCACAAGGTTAGAGCTGGATGGTTCCAGAAATAAGTACTAAGTATCTGACTCCTCTCCATGCACCATGTCAACTCTGGATTGTACCAGAAAGAATTGTTAAGTTACTGAATCTTCAGCATGCAGCAGTTAGGTGTTGACTGACTCAGGAACACTTGCTAAGCCGTCAGCTTCCCATCATACAGTAGGTAAGGTCTGTATCGTCCCAGAAACAATTGCTCAGTCAGTGACCCCCCACCACCATACACCATATTAGGTTTGGATTGTCCTAGAATTACTTCCTAAGCTACTGATTCTCTATCATGTACCAGTTCAAGTATGTACCATCCAAGAAATAATTGCCAAGTAACTGACTCCCAGCATGCACCTGGTCAGGTCTTGATCGTATGGAAAACACTTGCTAAACCATTGACCCCACACTGTGCACCAGGTCAGATCTGGATAGTTCCACACACAACTGGTAAGTCACTGACTCTTCACCATGCAGTGAGTCAGATCTGGATCATCCCAGAAACATCTTCTAATTCACCAACTTCTCGCCATGCACCAGGTCAGGACTGGATTCTTCACCTTGCAGCAGGTCAGGTCTGTACTGTCCCAGAAACACATGCTATGTCTTTTACTCCACTCTATCTACAGGGTCACGCCTGACTCATTCTAGAAACAAATGCCAAGTCACCGACTCTCCATAGTTCAACACGATAGGTCTGGATTGGCCCTGAAATACTTGCTAAGTCATTGACTCTTCACAGTGCTTCAGGTCAGGTCTGGATTGTTCTAGAAACACTTGCTAAGTCATTAATTCTCCATCGTGCTCCAGTCCAGGTCTGAAGTGTCCCAGAAATGTTTACTAACTCAGGGACTTTCCACGATGCACCAGGAAATGTCTGGATCCAACCAGAAATATTTGGTAAGTCACTAACTCCTAACCATGCATCAGGTTAAGTTTGGCTCATCCCAGAAACATTGACTCCCCAGTATGCACAAGGCCAGGTCTTGCTTATTTCAGAAATATTTGCTAAATCACTGTCCTCACATTATGCTCCAGGTTACGTTTGGATTATTTCATATACAATTGCTAAGTCTCTAACTGTCTTCCGTGGGTCAGATCAGGTTTGGATTTTCGCACAAACTATTTTCAAGTCACTGACTCTCCACCATGTATCAGATCAGGGCTGGATCATACAAGAAACAATTGCTACATTGCGTACTCCTCACCTTGCGGCAATGCAGGTCTGGATTATCCCAGACACAATTGATAAATTACTGGCTCTTAACTACGCACCACATTAGGTTTGGATTGTTCAAAAAACTCTTAAATACTTGCTAAGTTACTGAGTTCCCACCATGGAGCAGATTAGGTTTGGATTTTCCAAGAAACAAGTGCTAAGTCAACGATTCCCCACCATATACCACGTCAGATCTGTATTTTCCAGAAATACTTGCTAAGTCAATGATTTCAACCATACACCAGGAAATATATGAATCATCCCAAATATAACTGCTAAGTCACTGACTTTCCATCATGCGGTATATCAGGTCTGGATTGTACTGGAATTACTTGATAAGTCACTGACCCTCCACCGTGTACCATGTCTGCAGTAAATCAGGCCTAGATTGTTCCAGAAACGTTTGCCTATTCACCGACTCCCCTCTATGCACGAAGTCAGGCCTGGACCATCTCAGAAGCACTTACTAAGTCACTGAACTTCCATCTAGCACCATATCAAATCTGTATTGTCCTAGAAATAAGTACCAACTCACTGACTTTCCAAAATGCATTAGGTCAGGGCTGGGTCATTCTTGAAACATTTGCCAAGTCTTTAACTTCTCATAGTGAACAAGGTCAAGTCTGGATTGTTCCAGAAACGGTTATTAAGCCATTGAATTCTCAACATTCAGTTGGTCAGGTGTGGATCGTCCCCCACACATAATTGCTTAAACACTGACCCCTACATAACATCAGATTAAGTCTGTATTGTTCCAGAATCACTTGCTGAGTCATTGACTCTTCACCATGCAAGTCTTGATTATCCTAAACATACTGTGCAAAAGGTCAAGTCTGGATTGTCTCAGAAACAATTGCTAAGCCACTGACTTCCTACCATGCACCACATCAGGTGAATTATCCTAAAAACAAAGATAAGTTCTGACTCTTCACCTTGCACTAGGTCAGGTCTGGCAGGCCAAGTTTGGATTGTCCTAGAAACGGTTGTTAATTCACTGACTTCCCACCGTGTAGATTGTAGAAGGTCAGGTCTGGATTGTCCTAGAAACACTTTCTAAGTCACTGACTCCCCAGCTTGTATCAGGGCAGGTCTGGATCGTCTCAGAAACATTTTTTAAGTCACTGACTCCCCAACTTGTATCAGGGCAGGTCTGGTTCGTCTCCAAAACACCCCTAGAACAAGAAGTAGACTTTCCTTAGTACATAACATCAGGTGAAGTCTTGCTTAACCCCGCTTTATTTATTGAGTCACAGTTTCTGGACTGTGTTTGAGGTCAGTTTTGGCATTCCCGAATATCACCTGTGAAGTCATATGTTCAGTTTGTTGGGTTTGATTTGTTACAAAGCCTTGAAACAAGTAACAATTCCCTTACCTTGTACTAGGACCTCGCTTGTTCCTGACCCACGTTAAACATCAGGTGAAATTCGACTAGTAGCTCTCAACGAATCACAAACTCATCATCAGTCAGTTGCACGGGTCTGACATGTGTTCGATGTCCCAGAATCGCACAGAGAACTATCAACTACCCAGACTATGATTGGTTCTCTTCAGCAGACCCGTCTAGACAGGAACGACGTCCTTGTCTACGTGCGCGCGTAACGTTTGTGTCTCAGCGGAAGCAAACGACTCATCCGTTCAACTCGAGCCCGCAGAAAGTCTCGTCTCTCAAACGGCGGGCTTGCTGATGTGATGCCGAATTGTCGGCAGCTGACCACCTATATCTCGGACGATTGTAATTGCTTTACGTTCCTGGAAGGGTGGACGATTTGGGGAGTTACAAGCACATGACAGGTGGGTTTGAAGGTTAACGTTGAGATTTATTTGTTCAGAAATCTTTGTCCTTACAGAAAAGTAATGCGTTTTATACAGTGAATCACATGGTAGCCGATTTTTTAAACAGTAGATATTTAACAATGTCTAATAACGGAAACATTTAATAAAATAACTAAACAACGTTGAAGGTAAACTAACCCGGCGCTTGATTTTGACAGATAAAAGTTTTTAAAAGTAGTACCCATATTTTGTCTTTAGTATGTTTAACATATCCGTTAGGCTTATGTAATAAAGTATTATCTCTGGTATTACACTTACTGTTTTCAAAGTTGACCATGACTATTCTATTACCATAATATAACGAAAAGGTAATTCTGTACTAAAATTTAAATTTTTTCAATATTTAATTAGCTTTGAGCTCACAGTAAATATCACACTGAAATTTAATAACGGGGATTTTTCCGATTGTAAAGTTTGTTTTAGCGCAAAGTCACACAATGGATTATTTATGCTCTGTCCACCGTGGAGAATCGAACCTCGGACTTTAGCATTGTGAGTTAGCAATATGTTTAAGTTCTTAAACGTGTTACTAAATCACCAGAGAACTCGACCGTAGAGAGAGAGAGTGAATAAGCATTTTCAAAGTTACTTAGCTTTTCTGACCGTAATATAGTATTATTTTGAAGGTTAACTAAAATATTTTCTGACCATTTACTATCCGAGACTCGGCGCTGAACATATTTGTCCTTTCAGCCGTGGGAATGTTATCATTTTTCAGGCAATCCCACTACTCGTAGGTAAAGAGTAGTTAAGAATTGGCGGTAGGTGCTGCCGGCTGGTTGCTTTCCCTCTTGTCGGAAGTACAAAATTAAGAACGGCAACAAATAACCTTAGTAGTTTTGTTATAAACAAACCATTTTAACTGATCATTCTGAAGGTAACTAATTGAAATTTTCTGAACATATTAAACTGGTTCTTTAAAAACGGCGGACGAAAAATTTTTTGACCATAATAAATGATAATGTTGAAGACATTTGGCCGAGATTTTGTGACCACATAAACTGGTAATTCTGAAGACAACTGATCGACATTTTTTACCACATTAAACTGATCGTTTAGAATGTAGCTGACCAAGATATTCTGACCATACTAAACTGGCCGTTTTGAAGTTAAAAAGGCTTTTCTGATTCCAATAAACTGGCGATTTTGAACGCTATCATAACTTTTCTAGTGACAGTAAACTAGTCATTAGAAAGTATCCAACAATATTTTTTTGATCCCGATAAACTAATACGAGTAAAACAATAATTATTTGTCAAGCGGTGACTGTTTTCGGAAGAATACCACCAGAGGACATCAACGTAGTAAAATGGCGTTGAGAATTTCTCCAACTCATAGTTACTCGAGTCCCTTTCCAATCAAATTAATGTAAACTTTTTTTTTTGTATATTTCTTTGTTTTAGATTTTTGGCGCAAAGCTACACAAGGGCTATCCAAACACAGCTGTTTCTTATTTTGAACTGATAGACTAAAGAGAAGACAGCTAGTCAACAGCGCCTACAGCTAAAGTATGGAGGGCGCTTTTCTCGCAAAGGAATGCGAACCATGAATTCTAGGATTCACCGTCGGGGCACTCTAACCCTTGTGCTACACACCCGATGCTTTTATGAAAAGAAATAGTTGCGCATAGTGCAAGAATTCCTCACTAGGGGTACAAATATGTGTATACATGCAAGAAGCTACCTCATTTAGGTGAAAAAAAGTGTGTGTGTGTGTGTATGCACGTTTATTTTGTATGAGCTATTCAGTGGAGCGGTCAACATATACGTCTTTTTGTATTGATAGCAACCTAAATATTTGTAAACTTGTATGTGTGTGCGTCTAGTGAGACCTCCTTGAAGCATTGTTATAAACACTGAACCGGATATGTTAGTTGTAAAGGCTCATGACCTCAACAGTCTAAAGTTTCGTAAAACGTGTTATATTGCTTATATTATAACTTTAAGTATGTTTGTGTGACAGAAACAGTTTTGTACTGCAAATACTTCTTGGTCAACTGTTTAATATATTGCCTGATAATAGGGTGTAATGTAAGGAATGATGTAAACACTGAGTAAGTATACCCTTCCGGATTTTTTAAACAGTTTTTTAAATAATAATTTCAGCATATTAAGGGTTATGTAATTAAGCCTGCAGAAAAGAGGATTAGAGTACCGGATTTATAAAACTACTTGTCACTTGTGAGATTAGGTAACGCATGATCATGTAGGTTAGGGGTTAGTGTAGTTATATCGTTGAGCAAGAACTCGTGGAATTGTGACCGTGTACCAGCTTACGGTACCAGGGAACAAGTGGAACTTGAGCGTTTTGGATTGTGGGATTGAAAGTTAAAATGGCATAGGTTTACAAAGTTGCAATGAAATTTATAGTATTTTGAAAAATCGAATCGTACAGTAAAGCCATGACGAATCAAAAAGAACTGAAGAACATGCTTTCCAGTTCATTTCGGCTTTTGTTGAGTGTGACAAGAAAACGGAAAAGAAGGAGAGAAAATGGAAGAACTAAGATAACCAGAAGCTAGAGAAACGTTGCAACAAAATGGCAGAAAAATTAGAGAATGTAATCAAAACCGTTAAAAAGACGTGCAAAAATAGACCTATAAAACTATTGGTAGGAGGAAGGACAATGTGATTAGCAGCTTAAAACGAAATGAACCTAAATATGCCGAAAGTTGTAAAAGGTGTTTTAGATACAGAGTTCAGAGCTACCAGATGAAATAATATTGAAAATGCATGACCGATTTGTTGATGTAAATACTGCTGATGTCAAGATTGTTACGGTACAAATGGGTGTAGGTGTCTAGATTGCTACAACACAAGCGGGTTTAGATTAGATTGCTGCGGGAAGCCATAAAATGCCCTGACAAACAGATCAGTCTAGTCTGCACAAACAGCTAGCATGTTTATCTGTTAAACCATTTGGACCCCTATTAGCTAGTGGCTTCTCCAATCACTTGACCAACACCATCTAAATAGACTACATGAATACAACTACATTTGGAGTTATAGGATTAACAAAACTTCAGACAAGTATCATAAGCTACTTTCAAGACCAGACTTTAAAGGAAAGAACAAACACCCCAGAGCTTGCCAGGGACGTGAAACATGGTTATCATAGCAGTACCTTGAGAGATAATGAACTTTAATATATGATAAGTTCATCATTAATATTGTTCAGGATGAAGAAAGTACTCACACGACTTAACAAACTACACTCTTAGGGAAGTCGTTCGGATTATAACGATTCTAAACTTTTGTTGTTGAAAGAAACTCGACTCAAAATTATATTTTTTGTATGGAATTGAACGTGACACAAATATGTGGTGTTGTCCAGTCAGCCAGAATGTGGACGAGAGGGAAGGCCTGGAACCAAGGTCCGTCATTCTAGTTGATGAGCCACATGAAGCTGCATCTTCAACTTCTCTGTGGATGTTATAAGGATAATACGGGCTTAAGTAAAATCTCTTGAATTAACCTATTAATTGAAAAATGCCACTGACATTGTCGAGGGAAAAACTGAAGTCAACTTGCGACAAAATGAAGGGACATTACGATGTTAGCGCTAACAACGTTGTGTTTCTGTGGGTAGGTATAGTGTGCTTGTACAACCAGTGATGAAAGGTATGGTGTGATCGTACAACCAGAAAAGAAAGAGTATGGGGTGATAGTGCAACTGAAGAAGAAAGGTTTAGTGTGATTGTACCATTTAAGGAGAAAGGTATAGCGTGATTGTACAACTCAAAGAGAAACGTATAGTACAATTTTACAACTGAAGGAGAAAGGTATTGTATGATTGCACAACCAAAGTAGGAAGATATGGTGATATTGTACAACCAAAGTAGGAAGATATGGTGATATTGTACAACCAAAGTAGGAAGATATGGTGATATTGTACAACCGAAGGAGAAAGGTGTGGTGATATTGTACAACCGAAGGAGAAAGGTGTGGTGATATTGTACAACCGAAGGAGAAAGGTGTGGTGATATTGTACAACCGAAGGAGAAAGGTGTGGTGTTATTGTACAACCGAAGGAGAAAGGTGTGGTGTTATTGTGCAACTGAAAGAGAAATGTATGGTGGTGTAGAACTAAAGGAGAAAGTTAAACGCTCACATACTGTGACAAGGAAGATCAGTGAATGATGTTTTCAGAGAACCCATGTTCAAAACTTCGTCATTTTGTCCTTCTTTAGAAATATTAATACTATAGTGTGAAGACAGCCTAGTTACTCTTTCCAGATGAGACTAAATAAAGTGAGAATTCTTCAAACTAGTAATCTACAAATGAAGAAGTGATCACGAATACAGAGCTGGAAGTGGATTATTGGATCCAAAACTTCAGTCACGAGGAAAAGACTGAAACAAAATTTTAAGCACAGAAATACTGAATTTGTGTAATCCTAAGTTGACGATAACCCTAATCTCGATGACAACCCAGCAGTAAAATCTTCTTCATCTTCACTGTCGTGGATGTCAAAAGAAAAAACACCCTAAGAGACTTGGTTCCTAGAAAGGTCGAGAACAGTGTGGATTGTAATAATCATTAAAATTGTTCCGTAGTTTTAACGATTGAAAGGAGTAGTAGTGACAAGTTTTAAACAATGGTGTTTGTATTTTTAAAATTTCTTGGCAATTTTTTAATTATTATTTAAACAATTCGAAATATGTAGAGTATATGCGACTGCTTTCCAATCTCATCGGGTTTTTTACTATTTTTACCCTATACAGTAAATTACTTGTATTTTATTGTAATTTTTAAACTTGAAACAGTCTCATTTTTAGAATTGTGTAAGAAATAATCGTTGTTTTTGAAAAACTGCGAGTTTTTAATGTTGATGTTGTTTGTAGTATGGGCTGATTAATTTTAAAACGTGATCTTGATGAGTGTGAGATTAACTGCAA